AGAATATTACTGGCAAGGTTCTAATTTATTTTTGTATTTTGTGGACAGAATCTGTAAAAATTATAGTTAGAAATTAGGCGAAAACTGCTAAAACTCATCTGTTTGGTCAATATATCAGCAAAAATGTACTACGGATTATTATTAGTACCTTTTGTTAGTACCCTGGATTACCAAGACCGAATTTGAACTGTAACTTCTAAATCCATTTTTGAACAGTTTGTAGGACTATGTTTTAGATCCCTTGCTTATCCCGTCTTGATCAATTTGAATTCCATGCAAATAAATTAGCAGGAGTCTTGATCGATACCTCCAAAGTCCGAAATTTGAATTATTTTTAAAATCGTGCATACATGCATGGGCTGAATGCGTGAAGACGCATTTATTCTAGCCATAGGCAATGAAACGGATCTAAGGCTATCCGACAGAAGAAACTCCCTTTGTTACACCGAGCTGTTGCAAATTCAATGAGTTGAACGCCAGTGAGTAGGCTGTCCCAACGGTGGTATTGCCAACCTGACTTTGAATTGGCTGAAAACACGCCCCCTGCAAGAAGTTATGATGGCAGCATGCTATCCTAGCCTGATACTCTTTTTACACGAAAAGAGTTTCTCATCACCACTGTCTTAGGATTTAGTCTCAAAACCTCAACCTTCCGGCTATTTACCCAAGGCGCTTCTCTAATTTTGTACAGTTAGCCGGAACCGGTGTGGTTTACAGTGGTTTACACGCCAGCATTTGATCAGTCTTTGGGGATTTAAGAAATGCCCAAACGTTTTACCAACCTGGTACCGGCTAGGTCGCTCCGCAACCTACATCGCTATTATATACAGGCATCAGTCCTAGAAACTTGCAGAACAGCTCGCATCATCCGTAAACTACCCCACCCTATAGAGTGCGATCTCATTAGTAAGCTGTTGGCTGACAGGCCGCCGAAAAGTAATTTGTGACACCTCTTCTTTGCCCACCTTTGTGTCTCAAAATTTTCTGCCCCAAGTCCCACGCTCCTCTCTAACTACACACGAGAGGAAGACCCGATTCAGCGTTGATTCGAAATGGTCTGTCAAGGTATTGAAGTGGTTGTCGAACTCGTTATATGCGGTTTTCGCCGCTGGATGAAAAGATGAATTTAACTAACCACATCCGCTGCAAATGATCTCCCGGGATAGGGTGATATCAGTGATGTCGCTGACGCGGACTATATCCGGCGTGCATACAGCCGTAACCAATAAGAGTGCATAAACACTTTACATCCAGTACTGAAACGTTCTAGCTATTGCTTCCTATAACAGTTTTATTTTTTTTTCATACACTTTGGCCTAAGTGCTTTTGTAACCTTAGGAGGGTGAAGGAGACCGAATGATAACTGCCTCGATTTTGCGCAGTTAATGATATTTCGTCTCTGAAATAATCGCCAGGGTCTTCAGAAAAAAACATTGGTCACGCACAATAATGCCGACTTTCGGAGCCCGATAATGTATTGTAATAAAAATTTATCATAGTCGTCGAAGAACTGCACAGAACTCGCTGAATAGAGATGGGTGAATAACTGTTTTGCATTGGTACACTAAATATCGGTTACCTTTTCATACTGCCCAATCAGCTTTTGTCGACTCACCGATACCGCCCGCATTCGGCTTGATGTAAATCTGGTTCCCGTTAATGATTGAGTGCCCTTCACCTATTTTGTTTTAGACTATCAGGGGCAACGAGCAAGCGTTTCTGGATTTCCTCAACACACCTTTAAGCCCAGAGGAGGAGTCAGCTCCCGAAGGCGAACGCCCTGAACCACGACCGGTCCTCCTTCGAATGACTGCTGAGGAGAAGGCTGCAATCGACAGGCTTAAGGCCCTCGGCTTCCCTGAAGATCTCGTTATTCAAGTAGGTTTTCGACAATGGTTGATATTCTGTTGCTAAAATTCCAACTTCGCCAGAATCAGTACTCGTTGGTTTTAATTGTAGGGTGTTAACCAGTTTTACATGTGACCATCGCCATGGCAAATAACAAAAGACTGTCAATTCGCAGACAGCTCCCAAAACTTTTTATTTAGACCCCAAATAATTTAGTATAAGCGTGCCTAACTATTTCTGTTCTGTCACCCCTGTGTAAAAGACAATCCCAGATCGTTTGAACGTTCCACGCCCGTTTTTACGCAGTTAGCATTTATTAACAGAATTGACAGTCTCGTGGATTTCAAGAAGGCTACTTCAACGTTAGCCACTGCGCTCAGTCGGCTGACATCCCCTGGTAGTTACGGACGAGGTCATGTGTCTTGTTTGGGGACCTGTCCACCCGACTGATTCAACCTGTTTTTGTAAGCGCATTGACTTATCTTTGTAACGTAGTTGGCAAAAGAATAACTAACACTACCAAGCTAGATCATTTCGTGTCATTTGGCCGGTTGTTTGCTACATTATACTTTCAATGTTTTTGCGTTTCCCCATCGATATTTTCTGATTGCATTTCATTGTCTAAACGTTTTTACAGCTAGCGCCGCTGTCTGCCTCATGTTTTAATTTGGGCTCTTGTGCTGTGGGCAGATAGTCCGTGATACGCGCCGATGGGTTACTTAGTGCCCAACCCCAACAGCAGAGGGCCGACGAGCTTGCACGGCGACTAGTTCGTGGAAAATATAAAAGAGTGAGGTCGAGTTTAGGGACTTCATCCTCACGGCACGTCACGCTATGAGCAATGTGACGCGCTTTTGTACCATTTTGGTGCACTAAAAGTCGTGATTTGGGGGGATTACAAACTCGGGACGGAAACCGTATGTTAAGATGATATTTCATTGTGTATAATTTTGTTTTTCGTGTTCAGACGATGTGGGTGTCTCCGTAAGAAAGACTTATTATCTTCGCTGTTGTATATTTTTCTTCCCCTTTGTAGGCCTACTTCGCATGCGACAAGAATGAAGAACTTGCGGCCAACTTTTTGCTTAGCGAACAGCCGGATGACGAAATGGTTTAAACAACCCAATTAAATTTGATTTGCCTCCAGAGTTTAGTCCAGCGATTTCGGCTCCCCTGCAGTTTTCTTCTTGGGGCGTTCATATCACCGAACCAACTTGTTTCCTGTATATTGCTATGTCAAGCTCGGGCTGTGTAAATCGTTAGTATGAGCTTCTTTCATTCAGTCCACACACGCAAAAATGGCCCACGAAGCTACCTTACCCTATTTTCCTTTTACGGCGCCCAGTGTCCGTCTAGCCCATGCAAGGTTATTGTCAAGACTTCTCATTCACTTTGAATATATGAGAACCAAATTGCTCATTCGGCTTCGCAAACAAGACTCCTCGTATTGCTAATCATCTTTTTACAACCCCATGTTTCGTCAATAGCCCTCGTCTGCCACTCACGACATTTTGTGTTTTTCTACATGTTCTATTTTCACGGCTGTCCGAAGGCGGTTCCTGTTTCAATAATAGGACAACGCAGTAGACTGCCAATGACTTCCATTTGCATATCTTGAGCTGTATGCCCTCCCATTAACTTCGCATTGTGTAAGCACTGGTTATAGACAAATGGTTCCCTGGTTACTTCTAAATCGCACATTTGCCTTCGTATTCGATGTAAGAGAAAGGTATATGAAATTCATCCAGTTTTAATTAAGGAAATTAGACGCACCATTGATTGTCCGTCCGACGATAAGAAGCCTTTGGTGGCTGGCCACTTCCTTTATCAAATGGAGAAACGACTCGTCAGACATGTAGGTGGTTTATCAGTTTCATTTAATGTGTTACCTCCATTGCTTACTTGGACATAAACTCGTGAGTTCATTCTTAATGAACTATGTCTGTCCGAATATTTCATTAACGACCTGTTTAGCGTTGTCAGTGTTTTCATACACTGCGTTAGTGGACCCAAACCAAGTATGTTCTGTTCTACAGGATATTCTTAGCTAATAACGTATGGGATAGATTCGCTGGATCAACACAGGGGCTGGGTCAGACCGCAGCAGTCATATTTGGTTGCGTTCCCATGACAAACACCGAACATTGTTGTTCCCTTATCAGATGATGCCTTAGACCGATGTTCAAAATGACCGTTTATGTGACTACTTGAGAGCGGTTTGTTAGTAGCGGAAGCCACTGCGTTAGCCAGTAAATTTTTCAGGTAAATTCACATAATGGTTATAGTTGTGTGATTCACGAATTACGTCGGGGTGTTTACAGTTGAACTCACTGAATACCATTTAGGGGGGGGGTCAATATGGAACAGGACAGTAGCAGTGACACTGGTTTCGTTTCTGCCGAAGGTGCTAGGAAGATCTTCATTAAAATAAAGCTAGGCGAGTCTCCTGGGCCGGGTAAAATACCTGGGCTGACGTTTAAGCAGTTATCCATAGAGCTAAGGAGCCCTTTGTTTCAAATTGACAGCTGCCAATTAGTTGGCAACAAAAGTTTCTGTGCAAGTTTAGGCTGAGCTCGGAGATGTACATTCCTTGAAATTTGGCGCAGGATCACCTGCAATAGCGAAATAATATTAATCAGACGCCTTCTAACGGGATAGGCATAATGCGTTAGCGCCGTACGCTTTTTTCTTGTAGTGAACAATGGTCAATTAACTCCAACTATAAGGGAGGCCGCGGGATCTGTCAGCATAATATATGCACCACTAGTTTTACCCTGCCAGAA